GCTTCCTCTTACTTTTTAAAATATTTATTACTGTTATTTATTTATTTTTGGCCATGTTGAGTCTTTGTTGCTGCCCACAGGCTTTCTCTATTTAATATCCATTATAACAATTGTATGTACTATTATATAATATATTAGTACTTTACAATGTTATTAGTAAAATTAATATATATTAATTTTATATACATTGTGCAAATTATAAAATATGTTAAATATGTATATATATTTAGATCAGAGATGCATTATTCTGCCCCCCCTCCCTTATTTTGGTCTCTGCTTGAGTATCTAGTCAAAGAGGGTAGGATGGGGAAATGACATGACTGATCAGGACCTGTGGATTCCCGCCTTGACAGATTATAAGCACAACTTTAACACCTACGATGACAACTTCATCACAGACCTCAACACACCCTATGATTACGAGTCTTTGATGCACTACGAGCCTCTCTCATTTAACAAGAATGCTAGTGTCCCCACCATCACAGCCAAGATCCCTGAGTTTAACTCCATCATTGGGCAGCGCCTGGATTTCAGTGCTATGGATTTGGAGAGGCTGAACCGAATGTACAACTGCAGTGAGTACCTCTGGGTCTGAGGACTGGGTAAACCCCCTGACCTTACGGGACTCCTGTACATTTTCCTTTGTGTTAATTTGTTAATTTTGTTAATTTGTCCATTTCGTTAAGGACATTAGTTTCCCTATCCTTAGAAAAAATTGTAACACCTACCCCACAAGATGGTCATGAAAATCAATTATGTGTTTGTGTTCTGTAAAGTGAAAATATTGGGCCAATGTAAGGAGCTGGAATTGCCCAACTTCTTCAGCTTCCCTTTGAAGGGTGCATCCTTATGTAAAGCCCAAGATAGTTATAGGCTTGAAAGTATTTTGTATCTTAAATTCTTTGTCCAGGTTAGTGGTTCCTGGAGTCCTCTAATGCTCAGAGATGGGATGTTTTCTAAAACGGCCCCACTGGTCTTCAGAGACACATTCTTTAATCCTGTTCAATATGTATGTAGAGAAGATCTACTAAGAACAAAGCCCAGCATAATAGGTACCTCATTCTTGATCTAAAGGAGTCGATGGTTGGCATTTACAGAAAAGCATGATGGTAAGCCTTTTTATAGCTTGACTCTGTGAAGTGTGTAGGGCTGCATCTCTGTTGGCAGGTTCTGTTATCTAATGCATGACGGTAGGACTTACAATTGAGAAAAATCAAGACAATTACAATGACATCTTAGTAGCCTAAGCCATTAGGTATTTGACAATGAGAGACCTTAAATTTTTAACCAGGTGACAAAAATATCATTTGCAGCCACAACTCACACCCTTTTGGACCACTGTGATTTTGAGAAGGCAAACATTTGTGGGATGATTCAGAGTACCAGAGATAATGCTGCCTGGGTCCATGAGGACAGCACTCAGCCTGGACAAGCAGATCACACCTTGGAGGGACGATGCACAGGTCAGTGAAGGCAGCAAGAAGGTACATTAAGGAGGTTCTCCGGGTTCAAGGGGAAATGGCAGCCGGCATGTTTGGCCTCAGCTGGAATGCTAGTTATCAAACCTGGAACTCTGAATGAGGACAAAAACCATTTCTCATATCTTTATTATTATTATTATTATGATTTTTGCGGTATGCAGGCCTCTCACTGCCGTGGCCTCTCCCGCTGCGGAGCACAGGCTCCGGACGCGCAGGCTCAGCGGCCATGGCTCACAGGCCCAGCTGCTCCGCGGCATGTGGGATCTTCCTGGACTGGGGCACGAACCCGTGTCCCCTGAATCGGCAGGCAGACTCTCAACTACTGCGACATATCTTTATTATTAACGCAATAAAAAGCGTCCAGGTTCTGGGCATGCAAAAGAAAGTCCATTTAAGCAATGACAAAACTGATACAGACATAATGGTTGATATGACTTTGTACTTGTTGGTTATCTAGTTTATATAGAGTGTGTGTAACACAGGAAACTGTACTCAATATTTTGTAATAACCTATAAGGGAAAAGGGTCTGAAAAGGAATATCTATATCTATCTATCTATCAATCATCTATCTATCTATCTATCTGAATCTCTGTGCTGTATACCTAAAACTAACAATGACACTGTAAATCAACTATACTTCAATAAAAATTGTTTTTAATTTAAAAAAATATATGACTTTGTGGGACTTCCCTGGTGGTGCAGTGGTTAGGAATCAGCCTGCCAATGCAGGGGACACGGGTTCGATCCCTGGTCTGGAGAAATCCCACATGCCGCGGAGCAACTAAGCCCGTGTGCCACAACTACTGAGCCTTTGCTCTAGAGCCCACGAGCCACAACTACTGAGCCCGCGTGCATAGAGCCCATGCTCCGCAACAAGAGGGGCCACTGCAATGAGAAGCCTGCACACTGTAACAAAGAATAGCCCCCGCTCGCCACAACTAGAGAAAGCCTGCAGGCAGCACCAAAGACCCAGTGCAGCCAAATATATATATATATATGACTTTGTAAATTAGGGCAATGTCTCTAACAGCAGTGTCCTCCGGTGGAACTACAGTGTGCACCACATGTGTAATGTAAAATTTTCTAACAGTCACATAAAAAAGAAAGAAGGGAAATTCTCTTTAGTAATATACTTAACCCAATATATCCAAAATCTTTTAGTAGGAAAGGAAAGGACCACAGCCCAGAGAGGTAACTAGAAAAGCTTTGTCAGGTTAACTTGACCAGCCATTATGATTCTTCCACAGGAGGCACATAATGGGACGGGGTTTCCTCTGCTAGAGAGCACTGCCTTATTCAGGTAGATGCACAGACTCAAAGAGCTCGAAGGATAGAAGCCACTTCCCACTTGAATCCCAGAGAGATGAATGAATACCCAGTTACTGGCAGCTCTAGGGCAAGAATTCAGGTCTCCTGACTCCTCAGCTTGAGTTATTGGACTTGCACTTCATACTTCTGACCTCAACTGGTGGAATTCCTGAGCAAGGATAACCAGGAGAACTTCTTAGCCCTGTGAGCTCTTGTTTACCTTAACCCAAGCCCTCAGCAATTCACGACACAAAAGTCTAAGGCTAGTAAGGTAAAGTATTGAGAAGAACATACCGGCAAATATAATTTACCCTGATGATATATTAAAGACATATGGTATTTTTCAGCTTTGTGGAAAGCTTACTTAAACATCCTTGCTCATGCCCCATATGTGAGGCAGGATGAGGCAAGGACTCATACTGTCAAAGTACCTGGAACTGTAGATACTCACTTCATTTTTACTTGATGAAATGTTTTGAGTGGAGCATTTGGTAAGAGGTTGAGTATTGGAGTAAGTTTAGATGACTTTTTTTTTTTTTAAAGAATGGTAACATTTTAATTTATTTATTTTTATATTTATTTATGGCTGTGTTGGGTCTTCGTTTCTGCACGAGGGCTTTCTCTAGTTGTGGCAAGCGGGGGCCACTCTTCATCGCGGTGCGCGGGCCTCTCACTATCGCGGCCTCTCTTGTTGCGGAGCACAAGCTCCAGACGCGCGCAGGCTCAGTAGTTGTGGCTCATGGGCCTAGTTGCTCCATGGCATGTGGGATCTTCCCGGACCAGGGCTCGAACCCGTGTGCCCTGCATTGGCAGGCGGGTTCTCAACCACTGCGCCACCAGGGAAGCCCTAGATGACTTCTTTATATGCAAGAATGGTTCATTGCCCTTGCCTTTGAAAAAGTGTGCTGTTTTTCCAAGTGATGTATTTGTTTAGCCACCTGCTTGTTTTGGGGGAGAGAATTTTGAGATACATGAGTTGGGCAAACCCAGCCTCTGGCATAAATGTAGACCCTTTATCCCCTCTTTCTTAGTGTTCTTCTAAGGCTTTCTTTACATTCAGGAGAAATCCTCAGTTGGTCCCTAATATGCCTTGAATGCCCCTTCTTAGAACACAGTAAAGTGATTCTTTACCACTGATAGTACACCCAGTCATGTGGCTACAAAAGGATGAAACTGAACCCTTCTCATTGTGAATATTTAAAATTCAATTCCTAAAACTCTGAATCCCACAGTTTCTTATATAGTTAGGAGGCCAGCTCCTTTCCTTGGAATGAATCTCTAAACAACAAAGTTAATGAAGAAAACGGAATTCATCTCACAGACACTAGATTCCATCAACTTTGCTTAAAGCCTGTATTTCCTTAAGTCAGAGGTGTACATTTCACAACCTTGGGAACAAAGGCAATCAAAAGAGGCAGTGGAGAGCTGTGACTTTGACCAGCAATTCTGTCCGTGGAGACAGACAGAATATTTACTGACAAGCCACCTTTTTATTTTCCCCAGAAGAGTTCTAGCCTTTGTTGCCTGGATGATGGCTGTTGCTCACTGTTTCGCTTTGCCTGGGCTGAGGGCACCCTGGGGTATTTGTGGCCAGAGGTGGGACTTTAGGGTCCTCTCTCCATAGGTGCCGGCTACACCATGTACTTCAATACCAGCTTGGGGATAGCAGAGGAGGCAGCCCTGTTGGAGTCTCGGATTCTTTACCCAAAGAGGAAGCAGCAATGCCTGCAGTTTTTCTACAAAATGACAGGAAGCCCTTCAGACAGACTCATCGTCTGGGTCAGGAGGGATGACAGTACGGGCAACGTTCGCAAGCTAGTCAAGGTGAAGACCTTTCAAGGTACTTGAAGGCATCCTGCGAGGACTGATTGGGGTTCATATTTGGGACTGTGCTTTCTCTCCTCCTTCCCCTCCCTCTCCCTTCTCACCCCCCTCCCCCTCTGTCTCCTCTTCCTTCCTTTCCTCCACCTCCCTTCTGCCTCTTTGAAATGCATAATGCCTGGCATGTTTTAACCACTCAATGGATGTTTTAACCATTCAGAAATTGCGGGTTCAGGTGAGGTTGAAATATACTATTGAAAGAGGCCAATCAGGGAAAGAAAAAAGAAGACCAATCAGAATATAAAAATCTAGTTTTCACTAGAGCTTTGGAGAAAGCCAGAATAGAGAAAATTGGTGATTCAAAGGTGCAGATTGGAAGGTAAAAGGGAAGCTGCATGTGTTTCAGCAAACTGAATGATACCATTATTTAATACACTGAGGTAACTTGAAACCTACTTGTGAAGTTGGTGGCAAGCAAGTGACTTGTATACATTAACTTCACTAAAATCACTTATATATTCCTTAGTGATACTTTATGTATTTCTATAAGAAGATCATGAAAACCTTAAAATGCTAAGGTAGTTAGTTGGTTGTGAGAGTAATCTGACTGAAAATCAAGATCCAGGGTTATAAAAGCTAAGTCGTTACATTCTTTTATTATGGTGGTGGTTCATTCATAAATAGAAAATCAGAGACGTGTTTTTCTAGTTTTCCATTCAACAAAGAATATCTCAATTAAAATGAGTTAAAGGAAGCACTCTGTGTACTTCTAGAAGAAGCTGCTGCTCTTGAAGCATGGAGGCTTCCTTAGTAAAGGCTACTCAGAAGAACGGGGGCCCAAATTGTCTCTACCCAGGTCACTCTGTGGGTAGAAAATACTGCAAATAATGGTTTGAGGGGTTCACGTTTCGGCTGAAATTTACAGAGCATCTTTATCAAATAGAGGGATGACAGCTAGGTGCCCTTTAAGAGTTGAGAATTTGCTGTGTTACCAAGGACTGTAAATATGGACATATGAAATTGCCATTGTTTGACTTTTGACTTATCAAAGGTCTATTTTATACGGTTCAGCCCAATACTTGTGCATTCAGTGTTAACAATAAGGGGGTGGGGTGCATTTATACCAACAAACCCAGGGGAAAGCCTAGAACCTGCAGAATGGAATAATAATGGAAAACAAATTCATGATTAAGACTTTTTGTTTGTTTGTTTGTTTGTTTGTTTTTTGTTTTTGCGCGGTACGTGGGCCTCTCACTGTTGTGGCCTCTCCCGTTGCGGAGCACAGGCTCCGGACGCGCAGGCTCAGCGGCCATGGCTCACGGGCCCAGCCGCTCCGCGGCATGTGGGATCTTCCCGGACCGGGGCACGAACCCGTGTCCCCTGCATCGGCAGGCGGACTCTCAACCACTGCGCCACCAGGGAAGCCCATGATTAAGACTTTTATGATAAATCAGAGTGTGTCTTTTTTTTTTTTTTTTTTTCTTTTTTAGCTATTTTCCCATACTAGATATGTGACTTTGGAAAAGTTCCTTAGCAAGTTTATAGCAGTTCTCTCCTGTGTTTGTTGTGAAGATTACATGAGATCGTTCATTTAAAGCACCTGCCACAGTACGAGGTTCCAAGTAAGTGCTCCAAAAATGTTGGTCACAGTTGTCACCAATTTTATTCTCTGTCCTCAGGAGATTTTGACCAAAATTGGAAAATTGCCCATGTTACACTAAGAGAGGAAAAGAAGTTTCGCTACATTTTCCAGGGCACAAAGGGTGACCCCCAGAACTTGAGTGGGGGAATTTACCTGGATGACATCACTTTGACAGAAACCCCATGCCCGGCAGGGGTTTGGACGGTCCGGAAATTCTCTCAAGTCCTGAAGAACACGGTTAAAGGGGACAAGCTTCAGAGCCCTCGATTCTACAATTCAGAGGGCTACGGTTTGGGGTTGACCTTGTACCCTCATGGCAGAACGGACTCCAGGAGCTCTGAATACTTGGGACTTGCCTTTCATGTGTGTAGTGGAGAGAATGATGCTGTCCTGGAGTGGCCAGTGGAGAACAGACAGGTGATAATGACAATACTTGACCAGGAACCCGATGTCAGGAAGAGAATGTCCTCCAGCATGGTGTTCACTACCTCCAAGTCCCAGACGTCTACAGGTAGGTGGTTAGAAGACCTGCCCTTCCACCTGGAAGGGCCAACAGACACAGTTCTCATCTGTATAGGAGAGATTAACTTTCCCCTCACATTTCCTCCTTGGGGACATCTACAGCAATGTCATGTTGGAGCCTTAAGTTAAAATGTCCTTGTTTCTTTTTTCTTTCATTGAAGTGTAGTTGATTTACAATGTTGTGTTAGTTTCTGGTGTACAGCAAAGTGATTCAGATATACATATATATTCTTTTTCATATTCTTTTCCATTATGGTTTATTACAGGCTATTGAATACAGTTCCTTGTGCCATTCAGTAGGACTTTGTTGTTTATCCATTTTATATACAGTAGTTTGTATCTGCTGATCCCAAACTCCTAATTTATCCCTCCCACCCCCTTTCTGCTTTGGTAACCAGAAGTTTGTTTTCTATGTAAGTGAAAATTTTCAGGGTCATCTTATCTCTCTCTCTTTCCTGAATTCATCCATCAAGCATCTAAGTAAGGGCTTGCAAGGTGCCAAGCTCTGTGCCAGTTCCTTAGAGTACAAGCAAACCAGCCAGTCCCTGCCTCACTGAGCTCAGTCCGAGAAGACAGATCCAGGTAATCATTTATCAAATACTCAGAATTTGTGAGGCTCTGTGCAAAACTAATGCATTGAGTCCTAAAATATTACTCATTGTCAGTAGGTCCATGAAACAAACTTGCATGAATAAAGGAATGGGCAAACTATTTTTTCTTTTTCAAAAGAAGAGACTTAAGCCTTAAAAGGAAGAAGATATACCTCTCTCTTCCCCTTCATTGAGAAGTCACTCAGTAGTAGGCAATGACCCTTCACAGGGGTGGTTCTCTGCTCCACCCCCCTCCCAATTCTCAGGGGTTTTTTGTGTTTTTTTTGGGGGGGGGTTATTATTCAAACAGAAAATCACAAAAATTATAATCATCCTCATCAGTTCACTCGGTCCCATGTAATTAATTTTTTTTCATCTTGATCTTTTGTTGGCACTTTTATGAATTCATCAGTTTTCCATTAGAGTTCTGAAAATGCTTATTCATTCAGTTCAGCAGTATAGTCCGTTACCAGAAACCTGTACTTGTCAGTCTTTTCCATGAATTCTTTGAAGATGAAACCCTTTTATAGGAACATTTTTGCAAAAGCATCAGAGTACACCCAGAACTGTCTGTAAATGACAAAAGACTTATAAATGACCACGGTTAAAGATTTGATGAAAGTTCATAATAATGCAATTGACAAGGAAATTTACTTATTTCTGAGATATACATTTTAAAGTAATAACTAGAATTATGACTTATAACATTATACCAGAACATATATAAGATTTTTAGAAATTTCATGTAATGTCTGAAGCATTTATATTAACATATTTCCATACAAATAACCCAAAGAAAGTTCAGTATTAGTTGTTTTTTTGTTTGTTTGTATTGCAGGTTCTTATCAGTCATCAATTTTATACACATCAGTGTATACATGTCAATCCCAATCGCCCAATTCAGCACACCACCATCCCCACCCCACCGCGGTTTTCCCCCGCTTGGTGTCTATACATCTGTTCTCTATGTTTGTTCTTACATCTGTGTCTCAACTTCTGCCCTGCAAACCGGTTCATCTGTACCATTTTTCTAGGTTCCACATACATACGTTAATATACGATATTTGTTTTTCTCTTTCTGACTTACTTAACTATGTATGACAGTCTCCAGATCCATCCACGTCTCAACAAATGACCCAATTTCGTTCCTGTTTATGGCTGAGTAATATTCCATTGTATATATGTACCACATCTTCTTTATCCATTTGTCTGTCGATGGGCATTTAGGTTGCTTCCATGACCTGGTTATTGTAAACAGTGCTGCAATGAACCTTAGGGTGCATGTGTCTTTTTGAATTACACTTTTCTCTGGGTATATGCCCAGTAGTGGGATTGCTGGATCATATGGTAATTCAATTTTTCATTTTTTAAGGAACCTACATACTATCCTCCATAGTGGCTGTATCAGTTTACACCCACCAACAGTGCAAGAGGGTTCCCTTTTCTCCACACCCTCTCCAGCATAATTCTCCTGGAAAGAGTAAATAACCTGACTTTTTTCCAACACATTTTTTCTGATTAACAAAGCTCTTATGGGTAAACAACAAGGTCCTACTGTACTGCACAGAGAACTATATTCAATATCCTATGATAAACCATAATGGAAAAGAATAGTAAAAAAAATGTATATATACATGTAACTGAATCACTTTGCTGTACAGCAGAAATTAACACATTGTAAATCAACCATACGTCAATTTAAAAAAGCTCTCTATACTCATTAAAGACAGATGGAAAGTGAAAAGTAAAGCGATAATGTGATTTTCTGTAACCTGTAATTTTGCAGCAATAAATGGCTCCGTCATCTGGGACAAGCCGTCTGTCATGGGGTCCTATGACAAGAGCTGTGCCTGTTTTAGAAGCATCGACTGGGGCTGGGGTGCTGTCATCTCCCACCAAATGCTGAAAAGGAGGAGTTTCCTTAAAAATGACGACCTTATAATGTTTGTGGACTTTGAAGGTATTTTGCTGGTTTTCCTGAATAAATAATCCCATGTTCTGGGTGTTCTATTGGCTTTACATGGATTTTTTAAAACATCTCATGGAAGGTGGGGATCTTTTGGGGGGACTAGGTTAAAAACAAAAACAAAAACACATGTGCTCTAAGAGAACCACATTGTACTCTTTTATTCAAGGACTCCCATCTCCATTTTAACTGTCCTGGGGAGAAACTAAAATTTTAGTGTCACCTTTTTGTATAACTTATCAAATGTGACAGTTGGCTGACTTCAATTTAGTTTCAATCAGTCTATCCATACTCACTTTATGCTTCTCTTCTCAAGTTAAATAAATAAAATCCTGATTGGACTACTTTAGACATAAACATAGCAAAAAAAGAATGAAATCTTGCCATGTGCAACAGCATGGATGGACCTGAGGGGCATTATGCTTCGTGAAGTAAGTCAGATAGATAAAGGCAAATGCTGTATGTTTTTTACTTACATGTGGAATCTGAAAAACAAAGCAAGTGAACAAATATAACAAAACAGACTCACAGATACAGAGAACAAACTAGTGATTACCAGAGGGGAAAGGGGTAGGGGTAGGGACAAAATAGGGGCAGGGGATTAAGAGGTACAAACTACTATGTATGAAATAACTTATAAAGATGTAACTTTGTATACATCTTTGGGAATATAGTCAATATTTTATAATAACTTTGTATGAAGTGTAATCTATAAAAATGTCAAATTACTACTTATACACCTTAAAACTAATATAATATTTTAAGTCAACTATACGTCAATAAAAAATAATCAATCTATAAAAGAGTTGGCATTATGAAAATCCGCTGGATTCAAAGCCACTTTTCTACATCACTAAAGGTGATGACCAAGAGGGGTGGAGGCAGCCCAGGGAGTTTTCTCCAGGAGTGGAAGTGAATTGTTGTCAGATTTAATCATATATCTTCCTCACCACCCTTTGTCTCTTTCCTCAAGATATCACCCACCTTAACCAGACTGAAGTTCACATTAAAGACAGCAAGCTGATCCCCCAAAGCCTCGTTCTCCAAGGCCAGGAGCAGCTGGCTTCAGGAGAAGGTTCAGGAAAGGCCTCCTTAGAGAAAGACCTACTGGGCAGCCTGGACCAGGGGCATCGCAGCCGACAGAAGCGGTCGGTGGACAACACGGGCCCCATGGAGGACCACAACTGGCCACAGTACTTGAGAGACCCATGTGACCCGAACCCTTGTCAAAACGAAGGCATCTGTGTGAACGTGAAGGGGATGGCGAGCTGCAGGTAGGCTCTGTGGCCTGGGGCGGCAGGTGTGGGTCGGCAGAGGGGAGCCCTATGTCTGCTTACCCTGCTAAAAGGCATGGTTCTCAGGTCAGGGCATCCACGCCATCAGATGGTCAACCGTGTCGGTCCTTGACTCCACAAAGCCGTGCCTGGAATCAGAGGGCAGAGCAGGGGTCCTGCCAGAGCAGAAGAGTCCCAAATCTCCTGTCTCTTCACGTGTATCCCTTTGCGACCTCTGGGACATTGTCAACAGCATCTTGAATGTTGTTGGAATTTTGAACTCCACTGCAGGGCTCAAAAATGACCCAGAGCTTTGTTTGTTTGTTTGTTTGTTTTTTAATATTTATTCATTTATATATTTATTTGGTTGTACCGGGTCTTAGTTGTGGGAGGTGGGCTCCTTAGTTGAAACTTGCAGACTCCTTAGTTATGGCATGCGAACTCCTAGTGGCATGCATGTGGTATCTAGTGGCATGCATGTGGGCCCAAACCTGGGCCCCCTGCAATGGGAGCGCGGAGTCTTATCCACTGCACCACCAGGGAAGTCCCGACCCAGAGCTTTTAGCATCAAGGCTCCACCACAGGGACTCAGGACCAAGCTTAAACCTTCCCTGACTGCAAATGTTATTATTGTTATTAATTATTATTTCTATTGTCCATTAGTTCAATTGTACTATTATCATATTTATGTTTTCAATAATAAGAAGAAGAATATCTGATATTTGGGGACTGCTTGCTATGTGTCACGTGCTCCCCCGAGCAGTATGCATTCATGATCTAAATTATTCCTCACAGCCACCCTGTGACATAAAGGCCCTTCTCATCCCCGTTTAGGGCATAAGAAATTTGAAGCTTAGAGAAGTAAGTAATTTGTCTGAAATTACCCAGATGGTAAATGCTGGAGCTTAGACTTGCAATCCAGGTCTGTCTGTCTGCACAGTTTGCTATATTTAATAGTTCCTTTTATAATGTTTGTTATTTGCGTAAAATATTTCATGAAAGGATGTATGTGATGACAGAAGCATCAGTTTCATTTGATAGAATAGTAGCAGATGTGGGATCCGGTCTGGTTGGCTCAAAACACCTACATTTCTTCTCAGCTCTTTTTGATCTCCACTATGTTCTTTCTTTTTTAAATTTTTATTTTGAAATAATTTTAGATTTACAGATACATTTCAAAAATGCAGCAGAGTTCCCCATACCCTAAAGTCAACATCTTACATAACTATCATACATTAGCAAAGGCAAGAAATGAGCATTAACAAAGGTAAATACTATTAAAAATAGTATTAACTAAACGACACACCTTATCCAGATTTCCCCAGTTTTTCCACCAATACACTTTTTCTGTTCCAGGATCCAATTCAGGACCCCGTGTTCCATTTAGTTTTCATGTCTCCTTAGCTCCTTCAATCCTGAGCGGGTCCTTGGTCTTGTCTTTCATTATCTTGATACTTTTGAAGAGCATTGATCAGTTATTTTACAAATTGTTCCTCAATTTGAGTTTATCTGATGTCTTCTCATGATTATATTGAGGTTGTACATTTTGGGTAAGAACCAAGACGTGATATGACCTTCTCAGTGTGTCATGTGAGGGGTACCGGATGTCAATATGTGTTATTACCAGTGATGTTAACCTTGTCATCTGGCCAAGAGGGTGTCTGCCAGCCCTGTCTCCTGAGAAGTTACCATTCCTCACTCTTTAATTAACATATGTCTTGGGAGAGACACTCGGAGACCATGCAGACATCATGCCTTTCCTCAAACCCTCACCCACTAATTTCAGCATCCGTTGGTGGAGTTAGCTGAACCATCACTACTGTGTGTCAGGAAACACATTCTTTAAGTGTCCCAAACCTTTCTCCTGAGCTTTGCATATGGTAGCCAAGAGGACAGGGTCTGGAGACAGACCTTCAGAGATTAGACTTCAAGAGTGAGACACTTACTAACTGCGTGGCCTTGAGCAAATTATCTAACTTTTCTGAAAGATAAGGATGATGAGAATGGCCTGGTAATAACCACCACCTCAAAGGGTTGTTCCAGGATTAAATAAATTGACTTGCGTAAAGCACTTTGAACCGAGGCCAGGTGTGTGTAACTGCTGAGTGTCCCCTGCCATTGTTGCTGTGTTGGTCTTGTTGTCAGGAAGCCCTTGGGGCTCAGGTGGTTCCCACACGCCCCTGTGTCCTGTCTCCCCAGGTGCGTCTCTGGCCACGCCTTCTTCTACACTGGGGAGCGATGTCAGGCCATGCAGGTGCACGGCAGCCTCTTGGGCTTGATGATCGGAGGCGCAGCCAGCATGGTTTTCTTGACCTTCACCATCATCTCCATCCTTCGCCAAAGGCCAGGCAGTGATGCCCGCTGACATCAACTAGACTGCAGAAGCACCTCCTGCCCTTGGGCCCTCCCTTTCCTTCCCGTGCTCATTGCAATTTGGGGCAGCTTCTATCAGCCTTGCTTTGCCTCCAGCCTCTTGTGTGACCCTTATGGTTTTCCTGTCCCCGCCCTCACATGGTTCTGTTACCCTGCTCTGTGCTCCAAATGTATCTAGTGTGTCTTGTGATGACGCTCTTATCCCTTAGTTGTAAATCCCTTGTTTAATAGACTGTCTTTCCCATATACTGTAAGCTCTATGCGGGCAGACCCACCTTTACTGTGTTAGCCCAGTGCCTGGGAGTCTGCCTGGCCCGGCATGCGTGGTCACTCAGTAAAAACGAATAAATGAGCCAGTGATTGAATGAATAACTAAGATACAGAAACTGTCTCCTTTCTACTGCAAGTAAGATGTATACAATGAAATGCATATGTTTTTTGTACTAGAATCAAACACTAAAATACCTGTTTTCCATCAGACACAATAAGTTTATTATTCTTTTAGGGTCTTGTGTGTTAAAGAATTTCAAATAAAGATTCCTCCTAGCAGCAGCATTTGCTTTCCTCCTCTGATTCTAAGGGAAAGTCTTTAATAAATTCAATAACTATTTCGTCAGTACCTTCAAGGGGTCCAGAATTGCATGTGAATTTGTGTGTGTGTGTGTGTATGGAAAGCTCTTTCTCAGATCTTTTTAAATTTTAAAGTACATTTTAAGGGACTTCCCTGGTGGTCCAGTGGTAAAGAATCAGCCTTCCAATGCAGGGGATGCAGGTGCGATCCCTGTTCGGGGAACTAAGATCCCACATGCCGCGGGGCAACTAAGCCTGGCTGCAACTGCTGAGCCCACACGCCACAGCTACAGAGCCCACGCACTCTGGAGCCCGTGCACCACAACTAGAGAGAAGCCTGCACACTGCAATGAAGATTCTGCGTGCCTCAACTAAGACCCAACAGAGCCAAATATATAAATAAATAAATAAATAAATAAATAAAATATTTTAAAAATAAAGTATATTTATATACTGTTCGTGTATAAAATTATTAACAAATTGAAAGTATCAGGTAGAAGAGAATTTAAAGGAAATATTTGTAGTCACACCTTCTTTCCGTGGTTCCTAGGAGACAAAACTACCCGAGGCAAGAAAGTTCCAAGAGGGATCAAGTAAGGAGGAAAGCTGAGGTTTCCATCCCTAATCAGCACAAGCCTCGCAGAGAGCTGGCTCTAGAAGTTTACTAAAAGAAAATATTTCAAGGAGCCTGAATGGTCTAGGCTTTCGGTTACCAGCTTTCCAAGTACATACTGCATGACGACTCTGGAAACAAACACGAGGGGTTAAGAAGAGTCCCTTTCATGCAAAGGTGTGAGAAGAGTTTGGAGTACGTGCAACCTCCAGTCCCAGCACTGACTCTCCAGCCTGAGGTGCATCAGTATCCCCTGGAGGGCTGGTTAACACACAGATCGTAGGCACCACCCTGAGAATTTCTGATTCAGTAGATCTGGGGTCTAAGAATTTGCACTTCTAGCAGGTTCCCAGGTTATGCTGATGCTGAGAACTGCTGCTTTAGTGGATAGAAAAAGAGGTCTGGACATCAGGCTCCCTGGCTGCAGGCTTGGAAGGGCCATCTAACCAGCTCTGCAGCTATCATAAAATCACACATGCTCTTGGTCTTTGTTTCCTAATCTGTCAAACGAAAGCAATAGTTGACTAGCTCCTCCCAGCCCACTTTAACAGCTACAGGGTTACAGAGTAATAAAATGGGATTATGGATAAGAAGGTAGAGTGAAAAGTATATGCAAAGTGTGCTGTTTAATTTTCAGAGTAGATGAGAAGCTACCCGGCCACCCAGCTAGTCTTCATCTCCAAAAACCAATCTGGAAATAACCTGCAGCTTTGCTTCTCTACAGGCTTCACAGCCCTGCAAATCCACAACTGACTTTAAGGCTGGGCTTGGGGAAGGTGTTCCCTCCACACCCCTGTGTCTCTCCTCAGATTGATTAGGAATCTGGCTCATCATAGATCAGACAGTGTATTTAGCTTTTCTCTGAGCCTGAACCTCTCCATCATACCAGGAGGATTAGCAGATACTTTATTCTTTTGAGGAGTTGAGTTGCTGATGGATGAGTAGGCATCTGTCATGGGGAGGTGGATAGAGAAATAAGCATTTCAACATCCTTAGGCAGTGCGGGATTTGGGATTTAGATAAGCAATGTGAAAAACTGGGAAGCCCTCTCTGTATGCGCGTACTTGGATTCCTTGGTCTTATGTAGTGGGGCTGAATCAGAGTAGTTTGAAAGTCTGAAAATGTCTCATGCTTCCCCCACCCTATTCTTTATCCTGCCATGTGGGGCTATGTTGTACCCTAGGAAGGGCAGAACAGAAAGACAGGAAGTACTGAATCCCTGAGAACTACGTGGATCTGAGCCTGCAATAGCAGTCTTGGACTGCTTACCTACACGCTTTTTTGGCTAATAAACTTGAATCTTAGGTGGCCATTATTTTGAATCTGTGCTGCTCACAGAAGACGCAGTCCTCACTGTTAAGATGGTTTCTGTGGGGTCGGCACATGATTCAGGGTAAGTCAATCACAATTCCTTGTTCTGCTGTAGACACATGTACTGATGGGGAAGAAAAGAGTTTCTCTTCCTTTTAGATCTGAGACTCCGGTTCATAGGCTCCATAGATTTTTTTTCCTTGAAGATCTGTCTTGGAATGAAATAAACACACAGAGGGAGACAAAGCCACAAGGGGAGAAAAAGAACTCTGAGAGCATTGTTTGAGCCCCTGAATCCAGCTGAGCTTGAAGGTGTACCAATCCAGTATCTTCCCCAGTTACAGGAGCTAATAAATGTCCATGCCCACTTCAACTAGTCTGAGTTGTGGTTTCATTATTTGTAACAGAGAGATCTTTAAGTGACTCAACCACTGCAGCACATAATTGGCTCATCTGTAAAGAGAGGAAACAACTGGGATGAGTCTAAGGTTAAATGAAATCTTATATTACATAAGATTATAAACTTTAATTGAGATGCATATGCTGGTGAGTTAATCAGCCTCCCTTAATTTGCTCAGTGACTTATTCTTCCTTTCTGGCTTCATAATGGGCATGATTTTAAAGTCAAACTTTGGCAAAATGATGATTTTGGATGTCATGTGTCTTCAGGGTTACTTTCAAAAACTCCTAATGATGAATTAAATGCAAAAATGGGGAGGGTATATGTATTTTGATCCTGAGTAGAGATTGTATCTAAATCTGGGTTCTCTCTCCTGTGTGTGTATAATTTCTAAACACATACACACAGTTTGATACAAAATAATCATGGCTAAATTCATTCAATAGTCACTGTGTGCCAGATACTCTTCTGGGGGCTTTATAAGAAGCAACTCTTCACAACCATCTGTCAGACCTGTCCAGTTATTATCCCCTTTTGTGTTGTGGAAATAGAGTCACAAGAGACTTTACTACCCAAGGTCGCAAAGCTAAGACACGCTGGGCTGACCATTGGAAAGCACAAGGTCTGGCTCCAGAACGCGAGCTCTTCCCCACCACTTACGCAACCAAATCGGCTGTCAGTCAACACTAACGAACAACACAATGTGTTCACGCTGCAAACTGAAGCCGAGAATTCCAATGATCCAAGTAGCAAATCAGCTGCTGCTTCAGTCTGCCCATCACACGGGAAATCACGATGTAGCCAAGTTGATTAGGACCAATGTCAGTTGGTCCACGTGTGTTCAGACACAGCCTCGGGAATACACTTCATCCCCAGGAAATCGTATTTTCCTCCTATGTGTCTAAATGGCATCGAGCATTCTGAGAATGCTTGCTCTGTCTGCGGCAAGAATAAAAATAGTAGCACTGGTCAGTGGAACCCCATGGAAACTCTTTTGCGTGAAGAGTAAAGATTAAAATGTCAGGCACGATCAAGCTGCTCCCTTTGGGGAGTCGACCAGTTGGCTAATGGGGGATCTACTTTCTTTTTTTTTAAATTGGTTCTAGTTATCTGTGTCTTTAGATAAATCTTTTATCATTTCCAAGTATTGGCTTCTTATTTGAGAGTTATTATGAAATCTGAAAGAGATAAATATAAGAAACAAAGTAGAACTGCAAAGTATTAGCCATGTCCTATGGCATGTAATTTGAAGAGAGCCAGAAGGCATAACTGCCCCCAAATTGCTAACATGCCTTGTGTTGGTGTGTCTGAGAGGCCTTTATGAAATTTAAGTTAAGTTATTTGTGGATGAATTAAAATTAATTATTGCCCTAAAATATCTGCCAGCTAATGTGGTCCTGAGAACACTGGGACACAGGTTAAAAATGTCTGGATGGTATGGAGGTGCTTTGATAGATTCCCCAGACAGGTAAGGGCAGACTGTGGGCCACGAACACTTAGGAGTTGGGTTACCGACAGGGCAAGATGTGGCAAAGTCAAAAGCTCCATTTCACGGCTTCATCCAGGGTCAATGTAGCTATTTCCCATGGCGGAGCAACTCTACTTTCAATAAAGCAACATAGCTGGCATCCTTTCATGCTCCATTAGAGACCAGAAAGGGAAGTATTTCCATGTTTGCCCAGAACACTGGTCATTATGCTCTGGGCTGCCCTGAGATGAAATTAAAAGCAGGATTAAGGTTGGAGATGCCTTAAGTTCTCCATCCTTTCTGTCACCGAGTTGTCCCTCTCTCATTTTCTGTGCTCGGAGCTCTCCCTGCCATGGGAGTCTGCGTGCATCACAGGGAAGCAGCAGTGTGGTGGTGACGTGCACACATTCTAGGTCAGACATTCTGCATTCAACACCTGACTCTACCATTCTTGAACCGTGTGACCCTGGGCAAGTTTTTAACCTCTCTGTGCTTAGTTTATTCATCTGTAAAATAAAGAGAAAAAGAATATTTACTCAACCCTAGAAGGGGTTGTTGTCAGGCTTAAATGAGATTCTAGAACAGCACCAAACACATTGTAAGAACTCAATAAATGTTAGTTAATATAGA